GGCGGGGAGGGCTCCGGGCCGGCGAGTGGTCGCTGTGAGATGGGAATGGCTTTAAAATTGAGGGCTGGAGCCTCGGCATGGGTGGGGGCGGGGTGGGTGCCGGCGCGCCTTGGGGTAAGGCGTGGGTGGGGCGGGCTGGGGGCGAGTGCAGATTTGTCCCCGCTGCCGAGGATCCCGGTGTGACCTCCCCACCCTGCCCTTCGGCTCTTTTTTCGGATCTTCCTTCATCTAATTCCTGTTTTTCCCCCTGCTGCAAGCCTTCTTGGGTGTATGTACAAATATATTTTGCAATAAGAAGGAAGAGCATTTTACAAGTTAAAATACAATGGGGGCATGTATGAATTTTTACCCCCCCCGTGGGTACATATGTTTTTTGACACTGTTGAGTATTTTGTTTCTAACCATCTCCCTTCCTTTTCTTACCCTTTACCACCAAAGAGTGCAAGGCCTTTGATGTACAGCAAGTTGCATGAAAAACATAATTTAAACTTTCCGTTTTGCATGTTAGCTTTTGTGCAGATGTCCTTTTCCCAAAAGGGTTTCATAGAGTTAGTTAAAATAGTTGTGGAGTTCGGTGATATAAATAGCCAAGGGGAGAGAGATTTAGGTAGAAGCTTGCAAGGGGGGGCAGAGGGGTGTAGAAAGAAAACCTAGTTGAAATACATTTAGCAAGGAATGAATGTGAAGAAAGAGAGAGAGGCAATATAATTGCTTTGAGAATTCTTTTTATACATTTTGGTGCTGCTGAATATGTCGTTTCATTTAGTAGAATCAACATTAGATTTAGATTCAATTTCTTCCTCCATAGATCCAGGACATTTTCCCCATTTACTCCTCAGTACTTGGGAGTGAAATAGGAACATTTCTGAGATTACATCAATTTTCTGTGCTTTTTCCCAATATTTAGATAGATAAACCTTTTAAAAAGTTAACATGTTGGGTTGACTTACGGTTTGCTCTTTGGCCTTGTTGAATAATGAAATGAGATTAAAATTGTTTTGCACAAGTTCATGGCAAATTAGCAAAATGAATTCTTTGGTAGGTCCTTTGGATTCTGAGGGATGAGGTGAAGGGAGGCAGAACAAGCTTCCTTTGACAATCTCTTCGGCGACATTCATTTCAGTTTCTTTTCCTCTCTGTCTGGAGCCAGTGATTTGCTGGTAATGAATGCAGAGAAAATGGGTGTTGTGTTTGCTGTGTGTGCGCTTTGGTGATAGAGTTCATATGAATCATTACTCCTCACCCCAGCAGTAATGTTCCCGAAGTTTTCTCTTCGTTCTATGTTTCATGGTAGTTTAACCTTATTAACTCTTCTGCAGGCTTTTTGTACACTTAAGGAAAACTCTTTAACTGTGGGTATTTACTTTTTTCTGGTAGGTCTTGCTTAAATGTAAGGCTCTTACTGTGTATTGGAGGGGAAGGGAAAATGGAAGGGAAGTTTTGAACCAGATATACAATGAAAACCATACAATACGTCTTTAAATATTTCATACCTGGAATCTCTTTTTTCCTTCTTTTTAATGCAGTACCAACTATTGGAGACCTACCTTTTTCCAAATTGGTGCTCTCGGTGGTGGTTGTATGTGTGGGTAGTACTAGGCTGTTAGTATCATGCCAGCCATGGATACCATCTCTGTGTTTACGAGAGTAAACATGAACAGAACTCAGTTTTAATTGGTATGTTTTCTTTTTCCAGGAGCTGGAGGAGGGAATGATATTCAGTGGTGTTTTTCTCAGGTGAAAGGAGCAGTAGATGATGATGTAGCAGAAGGTAAGAAAGTATTTAATAATGCAAAATTTGAAAATATTAATAGAATCTTTTCAAAATCTTGACTACTGAGAGATTTCCTTGAACTTGAGTCTTTTTTAGCTCAAGAATATTTTGTGTTTATTGTCCAAGAAATGGAAGAACAGTTTTAAAAGTTACCCTTCCTGAAAAATAGTCTTAAATTTCTTTTTTATGCCTTGTTTTATTATTTTTTCTCCTGAAAGGAGAAAATGATTTAAATGAAAGGAGCAGTAGATGACGATACGTATAAAACCACAAGAAATCTCTGAGGTCCTTGTGATAAATGTCTCCTTGTTACATAAATCCCACATACAAATAAATGGTGGTGTATTTTTCATGTTTGTACAGTGTTTTTAGATAAAATTGAAGTAGCGGCCCTCAACATTTAGCTCAGAAACCTTCGTGACAGCATCTTTTCATTTTATGGGAAGATTTTTAGCTTCTTTTGAACTTGCCTACTTTGGGAGAGTGGTGTTGATTGTCATATTCTGTGAAGAAACACTGGTTCAGATTATTCATTTGTCTGTCAGAGGTTGATTTAGGTGGATAAGAAAGTGTCAACGCTATAAATATATAGCTTGTTTCTGGCGAGCTTATATTCTTGTGCAGTTAGGAACTGTTGGATCAGTTGAAGTGCTTAAGTGTAATTTTTCTCCAAAATTTGTTTATTAATGTATTTCAAAAGTTCATTTAGGCTGAGCGTGGTGGCTCACGCCTGTAATCCCAGCACTTTGGGAGGCCAGAGTGGTGGAGGATTGCTTAAGCCCAGGAGTTTGAGGTTGCAGTGAGATGTGGTGCTACTGAACTCCAGTCTGGGTGACAGTGAGACCCTGTCTTAAAAAAAAAAAAAAAAAAAAAAATTCATGTAAAGTCTTGAAACTTGAAGGTTTTGCATTCATTTGAGATGGTCTTAGGTGGTGGGAGGCATTATTTACCACAAAGTAGTTGGCATTATTTCATTGTTCAGAAATGTTATTTAAAGTTTGAATTTTAATAGTATTGTCTTGAATTGTGGTAGGAATTTTCCAAACAATACTCAGATAAATTAAAACATGTACTTTTTATTTTTTAAAGATTTGTGTAGTGAAAATTTATAAATCTTTCTCTAGATTGTATTGTCTTCATATTAAGATCATATTTCTGACCTGTCTGAAGAATACTGTTTGTTTTGAGGATTTTTTCAGGTGGTGGTAGGATGATGGCTTTGTGTTGAGCCAGTTGAATGCTTTTGTTTGCTTATGTCAGTGTCATTCTTAATGAAGTGTCTGATCAGAGTGTGGCAAATCCTATGGGGAATCAACTGGCATACGTTATACTTGTCATATCTTACAGAGCTCTCTTATGTTCCTTTTCTGTTGAATCCTCATCTGTTTTTCAGATGAGAAAACAAACTTACAGAAGTTAAGAGACGATAGTGTAAATTAAGGCTTTAAGGCAAAGCCTTAAGTGTTTGACTTGTTTAGAGAGATAAATCCTAATTTAAAGGGAGGAGTTGTGTATTACTCATTTTGTAACTCCATTACCTATTGAATAGTAGGCACTCAAATATTGGATCAAATATTGCTATTGTGTAATACTCACCAAGTTATGAAAGTGCTGTATATTTGGAAACATTCTTTGATTGAATTCCATTTATTCCCTTTAATCAAAGGTCTCCTAAATGCTGATCACTGAAGATACTCAGTTAGAAGAAGTTGATGTTCCAAACTGAACATCACTTATACCCTAACTGAACCAAATGATAACTTGTGATATACAGTAAGTCCTCAGTTAATGTCTTGATGAAAACTGCGACTTTAAGCAAAACTGATGTATAACCGATTTTTCTCTCAAGATTATTAGGTGATTAAATATGAAATGTCCGATTTGGAATCAACAGTTTATTATATCTCAAACAATAAGCAGTACAATTAATCAGAGTATGCGCCTAAACTGTTGGCATAAGTTTTGCCATCTTGCTTATGCCGAGCAGTGAAGAAGCCTGGAGAGTAAGTGGTGATAAAATCATGAAAGATGTTTTCTGCAGCTTGTTGAAAATTGAATATTTTTCCTTGCAAGAAGTGGTCCAAAGCCTGGAAGAAGTGGTAGTCAGTTGGTGCAAGGTCTGGTGAATATGGTGGATGACAGAGTGTTTCCAAGTCCAGCTGCTGTAGTTTAAGCAGTGTTGTTTGTTCAACATGTTGTTGAGTGCTGTCTTGGAAGAGGATTGGCCTGTCTCTATTGACCAATCTTGGCTGCTTAATTGCAAGAATCCTCATCATTTTGTTCAGTTGGTTGCAGTAGACATCTGCTGTAATCAACTGACCAGGTTTCATGAAGCTGTAGTGGATAATACCAGTGCTGGACCACCAAACACACCGTTAGCTTTTTTGGATGAATATTTGGTTTTGGACTGTGTTTCAGCACTTCATCTTTATCCAACCATTGTGCTGAACGCTTGCGATTGTCAAAAAGAATCCATTTTTCATCAAAAATAATAATATGGTGAAAAAATGGTTCGCCTTTATGTTGTGACAGCAAACTTCAAGATGATTTCTCTTTTTCTGATACTTGTTTAATTCATGTGGCACCCACCTATCCAGCTTTTTTACCTTGTTGGTTTGTTTCAAATGGTCCAATATTGTTGGAATAGTAACGTCCAACCTTGCTGCTAATTTTATGCGTAGGTTGTGATGGATTCGCTTCCACTATAGCTTTCAGCTCATCATTGTCCACCTTGATCTCAGGTAGCCCGTGTGGCTCATTTTAAAGATTAAAATCACCAGAACGGAGTCTCTCAAACCATTGGTGTACTGTGCATTCATTCGCCACATCCCTCCCAAACACTTCGTTTATATTTTGAGCTGTCCGCACTGCATTGGTTCCACTATGGAAACTCATGTTCAAAAATAACAAAAATTTTTGACTTATCCATGGTTTTACAAAATTTGCTCTAGAAAACATTTGGAAGATAATCACAAGCCAAAAACTGTATGTTTGAAAGAGTGAGGATGTACCTTGACAGTAAAAATAAAATAAGAAATGTCGGCTGTGCACGGTGGCTCACGCCTGTAATCCTAGCACTCTGGGAGGCTGAGGCGGGTGGATCACTCAAGATCAGGAGTTCGAGACCAGCCTGAGCAAGAGCGAGACCCCGTCTTTACTAAAAAAATATAAAGAAATGATCTGGACAACTAAAAATATATATATAAAAAATTAGCCGGGCATGGTGGCACATGCCTGTAGTCCCAGCTACTTGGGAGGCTGAGCCAGAAGGATCGCTTGAGCCCAGGAGTTTGAGGTTGCTGTGAGCTAGGCTGACGCCACGGCACTCTAGCCTGGGCAACAGAGCAAGACTCTGTCTCAAAAAAAAAAAAAAGTCAAAGTGAAAATGTCAGGGATATCAACTGTCAAATTTAGTACTTAAGGAAATCGGACATTTCATACTTAATTGCCTAATACAACGAAATGTTGAGCAAAACAACTTAAAAGTCACAGTTTGCAAGAACCTGTTGATGTTAAGTCAGGACTTACTGTATATGATGGGTGAGTTATAATTCTGGTAATACTTAGCAGCTGCATTTTACTGCTGATTCATTAATTTTCTTTTGTAGTTAAATATTTTAACATACAGCACATTCTGAGCATCTTAAAAATGCGGAGACTTAGTGTGTACATTTTAGTACAAATATGTATATTTTAGGAAAAACATGACTTGTTCTAGTACCTATGTCAATATAAATGTATTAAGTGTAAAAAGCATCCAGTTTTCCAATTATACTGCTTTAATTTGGGTATTTTTGCATATTGTAGTTTGTGTATCACAGTCTATTTATTTTACTAAGGGAAGATTTGCTTTTCTCAAGTAAAATAAAATTATTAATACATTTTCCTCCTAGGTTTAGACTATAATCTCTAAACAGGTTACATCTAGGTCAACCTTTAGTTTAGCTTGTCTATTTTCTGTTAATGGTACATCTCAATTTCTTTCCCGTCAAAGGCTCCAAATTGTCTCTCTTCCCATCTACATGCAGTCAGCTGCCAGGACATACCATTTTTCCTTCTGTAATGCCTTAATCTTCTCTACACCCACTTTCGCCTTTGTTCAGATTCGCACTGTTTCCCATCTGGTTGCAATAACTTCCTAAATTATTCCCCGCTTCTTCATCCTATGTTTTGCTTTTAAATTAATCTTAAACGCAGTCCCAGTTTTGTCCTTTTCCTCAGAAATCTTCAGTGAATCACTGCATCCACTGGATTAGGAATTAAATTGAAACACTCCAGCCTAGAATGTACAGCCTTTCTCCAGGGTGGCTTGTACTGCTCTAAGTTTATTTGCTGCTGTGGCTAACAGTCCAGCTAAATGGATGCTGTTCTTCCAACAAGTTCTATACTCTCTTACTTCTGGGTCTTTGTTTTTACTGTTCCCACCTTGGAATGCCTGACACTTCTCCCATAGTTCTGTTACCAGGATCCTGCTCATCCTTTGAGTCATTTCTATAACCCTTTTACTTAATTGCCTTTTTTGGAAATAACTTATTTTTTACATTTCCTTTGTTATGTAGATATCATATTTAGTACCCCAAACCCCTACTGTTAATACTATAAGCTTAGTGCAGAACTAATTTATCTTTGTGCCTTGTGCAGGACATCCTATATAAACTGCTCTGCCTAGAACGAAGCCTAGCACATAGTAGGTATTGAGTATTGAATGAAGGAATATAAATGTTGCTGTTGTTTTTAAGTTTTGAAAGTGAAAGAGAACTGGTGAAAGGTAGGGTGATTGAAGTGTACTTCTGGCTATCATTTATTTATTTATTTGGCAGGCTTTTTATAACTGAATTGATGATATACAGCTGCATAATACAAAGAAGTCAGGAGGCCTTGAGTTTTTACCCCAGCTCTAACACGAACTATATCGCTTCGGGTAACTACTGCTGTGGGTTCCTGTGTGCTTAGCAAAGAAATGACAAGACTGGATTAGGTGATTTCTGCTGTTCCTT